ACGCGGGTATACGGGCAGGCCATCGCGATCGGAGCGACGATCGCGGTCATGGCGGTCCTGAACGCGCAGGAGAAGCGCGGCGGCCTGCCGTACGGCCAGACGGAGGCCAAGCCAAAGCATTCGGAGCTGACTCGCCTGTACGACGGCACGATGCGCCGAGCGAGCGGCAGCAGCAGCTTGCCGCAGGGCTTGCACGACCGGCAGGCGTGGGCGGCGGATAACGTCGACAACTACGGCCTGAAGATGGAGCAGGCGCAAGCAAAGCGTGATTTCGGCTCCCGTTCTCTGTCTGACGGACTTGGCTGACTCGCTGCAGGTGATCGTGCCGCTGCTGTACATGCCCGCCTTCCCGTTGACCTTCATACTCCTCCGCTCGCGCGTCAGACCCGAGACGCTCAACAAGGTGCGAGAGATGCACACGATCAGAGCACAACCGAGGCGATCCGCAGTAGCGGGATGCATTCACCCCGAGACGCCCCCCAAAGGTGCTGGCCTCCATGATCGCTATCGCCGCCTCGCACGCCGCGTGGATCCAATTCGGTGCGGCTCTCCTTCTCGGCTAGTCCTCAGCTAGTCCTCGGTGCAGCTCGCCTTCGTTGCACCCTTTGGCGCGTCTCGGAACGCGTCCTCTGAAGGCGTCCACGACACCAACGGGGCTCCGGCTCCTCCCGTTAGGCGACTCGTCGATGACTGGCGCTTGAGGATCCCGACCTCCACATCCCGCGCTCCGATCCTCCGTGATGACTTTGCCTTCGCGAGGAGTGGACTCGCGCGTCGCCGCGCCGCCTCTTTGCCGCCGAAACGTACACCATGGCTGCTCTCCTGCCACCTTGTGCCAGTACTCTCGAGGTGGCCGGCGCGGGGGCCACACACATGCGACACAACGACGTTGCGAGCCGCGAGCCCCGCGGTAGCCGGTGGCGCTAAACGCTGATGCGCCCGACTCCCGCCCGGGCGCTCGCGGTGGCCGCGTGTGTGCCAGGCCGGGGTGATGTACACTCGTATGCTGGCTCTCTTTTTCTTCTCTACCGACATACATGGAAATCTCTGCGCTACATCGGAAGATCCTTGGACTGTAGATCGTAGATGCCTTTCAGAGATCTCTTAAGTGGCAAATCTCCTGCCAAGAGCAGCAGTAGATTGAAGAACTGGTGGAGGCAAATATTCTCCGGAGTAGATGCTCGAGAGGAGTCTGAGATCTCGAGTTGGTGCGTGCAGTCGCTTGAGATCTTGCGACAGAGGTGGAGATTCTGACTTCGCGCCAAAGGCGCCTAGAGATCGTGTGGGCCGACTGGAGATAGCAAAATGGCGCGAAAAGAGTGTGGAGATCCTTTTGCTATGTGAATGAATCCATAGCGCATCTCCTTGAAGGTTTGAGCCCCCCTCCTCCCCCGGGCCCCCGAATCGAGATTGGGCGGACTTTCACGTGCAAGCGTTGTGCACAGTGGAACCCGCTCAGGCTATCCACCTCAGTCACCAAGATGGTGCCGCCTGCGTGCATGGCTCTGGAGCGGGAGCGTGGGATCGAGCGTGGCCCATGTGAGGAGCTCTTCGCCAGCGCTTGTCCGTGCTCGCGCCACGGCTGCTGGAGGGCAACGGCCTGCACCCAGTCGGTTTGGAGTGAAAAATCAAGCGGCGGCGACAAAGGGACCCTGCCAGGCACAGTCTCGGCACCAGCTACATCAGCGGCCATTGTGACGGGCCTCTTCAAGAACGAATCCTTTCCTTTACACGTGGAAGCCAGAGCAGAAGACGGCAACCACAGCGAGCGCCATCGAGAGAGCGACTCCAAGAGCGGCCTGGCGAGTAGAGGCACATATAAACTCGGGACACGAAGACAAGCAGGAGCGGTTACTATTGGGGTTGCTGCGGTCTCTGCGTGCGGTCAAGACGACACTGCCCGTGCATACCATGATCTTTGACGGCACCCTCCAGAAGCCAAGCCTGCTGCGCCTTCGCCGGCTCGGGACACGCGGGCTGCCGATTGCACCTGACGCCTTTCGGCCTCCGCCTTGGGCCATGATCAAACGGCGCGGGACTTTTGCCAAATTGGCTGACGCTCACGAGGTCGCGGCTTGGCTCGACAATGACTGCAGGGCCGTGCGGAATATCGACAGCCTCGCGCTCGCGCCCACGCCCGCATTCGCCTTTGCGTCGCAGGACTTTGGGCTCAACTCGGGCGTCATGGTGATTCGACCGAGCCTCAACGATTCCGCACAAGTCCTCCAGCTCCTTGCGCAGCCGGCACCGCCCAAGCAGTGGCGCTGGACCAAAGGCTTTGATTGGCCGGTGTATCGTGCCCGGCGCGCGAGGGAGGCGGTGGCGCTACGGACCAGGAGCTGTGGACGGCCTTGTTCAATGCCAAAGCCATGGCTGATGGCAGCGCGGTGTACGAGCTGCCAACGGGTTTCAATTTCCGCTGGTTTTGGCAGATGTCGCACGCGGAGCGCTGCAAAGTCTCGATCAGTGCACTTGTGGTGTTCGGGGCAATTGCATGAGGCTAACTTCACGCAGATGCTCGCGGACTCGTGCAGCCTGCGCGTACACGACGACGCGTTCATTAGTTAGCAATAGCCACACAGCTGAGCACAGAGGTGATCTGGCAGCAGCTGGTGGGCGTCCTCCCCGAGACGCAGTCGTCGTCACCGACACACACCGGCGTCACACTGCCGGCGTCTGAATGAAAAAGCGGGTCGGGTGCAGAGCTGTTGACATATGTCTGTGACTAAGCATTTCTCGCTGGAATCCTCGATCCTTATTGCGGATGCAAGTAATAAACAGGGGTCGATGGGAGACAAGCCACAATACCTCCCACTCGCAATCGGGTGCTTACGTATCTGTCGCGAACATCCAATGCCATTATGCAGATCTCCTCACAGATCGTACCCGCCCGCGGCTGTACACATGACCAGATGCACGGTCGGCTGCCCTCGCCCCTCTGCCTCCCGAGTGAGTGCAGCGAGCTCAGGAGAGAGGGGGCGTGGGGCCAGAGGACGGCTCGGCGCCGTCGAGCTGGAGGGCGGAGAGGGGGGGGAAGACCGGGCCCGCACATCACACGCGGCCCAGGAAGTCGTCCCCCCAATCCTGCGCCACGCCGTCGCAGTCCATCGCCCCGCCCTCCCCGAAGGTGGCCTCGGCGGTGGGGCCCATGCCGGGCGGGCAGACGCCCGGCGGGTGCGGGAAGGCGCGGTGCGGGTACTGGTAGTGGAGCGGCGTGGTGGTGCCGCCGCCCCCGCCGCCGCCATTGTGCTGCGGCGTCCCGCCGTACTGCGGCGGGCCCTGGCCCATGTGGAGCGAGGCCTGGGTGGCGGGTCGCTTGCGGGACAGGTCCTCGGTGCCTCCGGTGCCTGGAGGGAGAGGTGAGGGTGCGATTGGCTAGGTGGATACAGTGAGTGGCTGCAGCACGGCCGAATGCAGCCGAGTGCGCGTCTTCTCGAGTTGGAACCGAGGGACCTGCACATCTAGAGGCTTGCGCGCCGTACCCGCCGCTGCGCGCAAAGGCGGAGAGCTCTGCGGCGGTGACGCCGGTCGAGCGGCAGTGGAAGGCCATCGCCGAGGCGAGGACGACGAGGGTTCGCTCCCACTCCTCCTCAGGGCATGAGTGAGAGTGGGAGCTGAGCGAGCTGCTGACCTCCTGCCGAACCTCCATCGCCAGCCGATGCCCGCGGCTGCCCGCGAGGTTCGCGCCCGACGCGTCCCCCCACCAGCCGACCGACGTAGGGCCGTATGTCCTCCCCGAGGCGCGGTGCCTGACGGCGGAAAGAGCAGCGGGTGAGCAGCTGGGGCGAGGGCGGTGAGTCTGGGAGTCGCCCGTGCGCCACGGCTGCAGCAAATGCTCGGTCGTGTGGTCCGAGATGAGCCCGTCGGGTGCGAAGGCGGCGTACGATGCGCCAGCCTCGCCGCAAGGCAGGACGGTCGCAAGGCCTCCGTACTGGATCGCCGGCGGGCGCTGGTTGTCGGCCAGCTGGGACGCCGGGGCCGGGGCGGCCCACGGCGGCGGCGGCGCGGCGGGCGCGGGGGCGCCGACCGCCTTTGCGGCGCACTCGCTCGCGCAATGCAGCCGGCAGTAGGTGCGGCGCAGCACGCCGAGCTCTTGCGCGCTCATCAGCGTGTAGGTGGAGGGGAGGGCGTCGCAATGCGGCAGCGAGAGAGCGGCCGAGAGGCGGACGGGGCAGTCGGCGAGGCCGCACGGTCCGCTGCCGTGGTGCGACTTGACGGCGATCACGTACTCGGGCAAGTAGGTGGCGACCAGGTCGTTGATGAGCCTCGCCGGCGGCGGTATGCCGTCTGCGGCGTCGTGCTCGTGCTGGACGGCCGTGACGGAGACCTGGAGAGGACGTGCGACTCAGGGACAACTCGCGGAGGTCGCTCTCTGCAGGAGAGGCGGAGAGCCTGCTCCGGCTCGAGCTGCGCCTTGAGGGCCGCCTCCTGGTACGCCTCGAGGCGGAGGGGCCGGTCCTCGGTCGCGGTCAGCACCGCCATCATCCTCTCGAACGGCTCGTCGGCGGCGAGGTCCGCCTAGCAGGGGGGGGGGTTCGGCGGAGGGTCAGAGAGAGAAGGCTCCACCGCCTTCTCGAGGAGTCGCCGGGTGTGCGCCGGGTTTGCGGCGCGGGAGGAGTCGTAGAGCAGGCCGATGCATGCGTCGAAGCGGAGGGCGAGGAAGAGCGGGTGCTTGCACTTGTTGCGGATGTTGACCGCAGAGAGGTAGTTGCGCAGCCCATCGATGGAGTTGTCGATCGGCTGCCGCACGAGGCCCTTGTCCACCTACGAGAGGAAGGGGGTCGCCGCGGTGTGGGAAGGAGCGTGGCTTGGGCAGTGCCCAGCAAGTGCGTGCGAAGTGTCTGCGAACCTTCTCCAGCACGCGGTCGAGCTTGTCCGGCGCAAACGGCAAGTGCGCCGCGACGCCGCCGCCGCCGCCGCCGCCGCCGCCGCCGGCTCCGCCGCCGCCGCCGCTGCCTCCCCCGCCCCCCGCCCGGCTGGCACCGCCGCCCGCCGCCTTGCTGCCCGCGCGCTCCTTCGGGTTCCTCTTCCTCGCGTCCACCCGGATCGGCGGCGAGATGAGCGCCGCCGCGATGCACATGGCCGCACTCAGCCGCTGCGGGTCCGTCTGCGGAGGAGCTTGGACCATCACCACGGCCGCCTGTCCACACGCTGGCCGTGAAGTGGACGCTGCCACCTGTCGGTCACCGGCGCCATCGCCCAGGCGCGACCGCGTCGGGCGTGCTTGGCAGCGGCATGCCCGCGGCGCCAGCAGCGAGCGTCATCGCAGCCTTCGCAGCCGCCGGCGACGCGGCGCGCGCCCTCACGTCGGTCACCGCGGCGGTCGCCTCTACGCGCGGGACGAGCAGCGACGCCATCAGGTGCATGTGCCGCCCCTTGAGGTTGTACGAGGTCGTCTTGAACGAGAGCGAGGTGAAGGAGGCTGACCCCGACACGAGCGGCCGAAGCGTGCCTCCCTCGAGCCCGCACGAGGTGGCCGCTTCGCAGGCGACGTCGACGGTGACGGCGGAGAGGAGGACGGCGGCGCGCTCGGGCAGCGGCCCGCCGTCTTCGCGCCACACCTGCAGGCAGGCTCCGAGAAGGGCTCGGGGCACGGGTCGCCGGGGCCTCAGCCTCCATGTCGCCGCCGCGCCTCGACGGCGATGCGCGGCAGCGTGCAGTTCTTGTGCCACGCCCACGAGGGAGGGTCTCCCTCCTGAGAGAGAGGGGAGAGGGGCGCCGGTGAGGCTCCGCCGGACGCTGCTGCGCGTCTCGACGCGGCGGCGGCGGTTGCGCGGCGGTGGCTTGCGCGGTGGAGGCAGAGACTCGTGTGTGTGAGCGATGAGGGTCAGGCGCAGCAGAAGGCGCCAGCAGAGCGCCGCGCATCCGCTGACTGCTGCGCGTCTCGACGCGGCGGCAGTTCGCGCAGCGCACGACAGCTGGTAAAGGGTGACTCGCGCGCGGGCTGCGCCCACCTGCAGCGGCGGCCGCTCCATCTTGACGCGGAGCTGGCAGGTCGAGGCCGAGCGTGAGCGGCCAGAGTGCGACCACGGAACGGCCGCGTCAGCCTCCGACCCCGTGCCAGACAGCAGCGAGTAGTTGGTCACGTCCCACTCGAAGCTCTTTGGCGGTCCGGGGAGGCTCGCGCTCTGCGGGAGGGAAGCAGGAGGATCAGGTGAGCCGTCAGCACCGGGCTGCCCGTCCCGAAAGGAATATGTTCCCTCCACCGCGCGCACCTGCTGCTCGATGTAACGCGATATTTGCTCCTCGATGGAGCTCTCGGGCGTGATCGCGACCGCCTGCATCATGAGAGTAGACCTGCAGCTCGGTTTGAAGCTGCGCCTTCGGAGTAGCTGCACCTGAGCGCGCGGCGTGCGGGACGTCAAGTGGGCGCTCCACAATCGAAGGCGCTCCGTCTTAACGTGGGGGGTGCTTAGATTGGCTGTTGTTTGATGGCCAAATTGGCCCACTGCCCAGGATGGGTGAGACTGGTTGTGGTGTCACCTGGCCCGGCAAAGAGGCTGCTCCAGCCGTACCCACGTAGGCGGAAAACCAGGTTCGTTGTGAAGAGCTGGGGCGCGCCACCCAAGAGCCTAGGTAGGTGCGGATCGGCAAGAGCGCAATCGATCTTTTTGCCCTCTATCACCTTGGGTTGTAAGAACTTGAAACACACCACGCAGGGGCACAGCAAGCACGGATAGCCGTTGAGGAGAAAGGGCGTAAGGTGTATGCGCAGCCACGGCCGTGCCGCGGTGGAGGCGCTGCTGGACGAGAGAGGGAGAGGCGCGAGGCATGTGCATGTGAGCTAGCTGATCTGATCTCATGAATCTGATCTCGTCTTGACCTCCTCTCCCCTGCCTCCCCTTGAGGACGAAGGTCATCACCTGTCGATCGGGGCAGTGGTTGTTAGGCCGGAGAAGGGGGGGAGAGGGGCAGAGAGCGGGAGAAAAAAGCTCATCTCGCGCATGTAGGGCTCGAGGTGGTGAGGGAGGGCGCATGCAGGGAGAGGTAGGGGGGAGGAGGGGAGGAGAGGGGGGGGGAGTAGGTCGGAACCCTACTGCACTGCCTGGAGGTCAGCCCCACGAGGGGGTCAGCCCTGCAGTCTCGCAAGTAGTGAGGCGACAGGAGAGGGGAGGAGGGAGGAGGGTCAAGGCGCAGGAGGGGCGGCGGATCACCCCCCATCGCGCCCACACCTATGCCCGAAGGCGGTCGGCGTGGGGTGGAGAATGATCCCTGCTGGACGAGAGAGAAACCGCGGGAATTGACGTCCAAGCCAACCTCCCCAACACAAGGCCCGACGTGCCGGGGCCGCTCGACTCCTCCCTGGGCCAGCTTTCGATGCCCAAACAAAGGCGCTCCCCCGCCTCGCGTGAGCTCTCGCCGGCGAGAGATAGCCGCCGGCAGGACCGGGACCGGACTCGCAGCCGCGGCCGGCGCCGCCACAGCCGCAGCCGCAGCCACAGCCGCAGCCACAGCTGCAGTCGGCGCCGCGGCCGCAGCCGGCGCCGCAGCCGCAGCCGGCGCCGCAGCCGCAGCCGGCGCCGCAGCCGCAGCCGCAGCCGCAGCCGCGCATCCAGGCGCCGCCATCGCTCACGTAGCCAGAGCCGCTGCCGCCGCCACCGCCACCGCTCGACTGGCCGCAGCAGAAGCCAATCCCGCAGACGATCCCACAGCCGCAGCAGGGAGCGGTCCCGGCGGCCGGAGACCCGCGACCGCGACCGCGACCGCCACCACCGCGACCGCGGCCGGGGCCGCGGCCGGGGCCGTGACCGCAGCCGCAGAGATGACCGTCACGAGCGGCCAGAGCAGCTCTCCTCCACTCGCCCGCTGCAGGGGCAGCCGTGCGCGTCGCCGCCGCCCACCGGCCTCCGAGCGGCGGCGCCACGGGCTTCGAGCCCCTCATGCGAGATTGTGGGCGAAAATCTTGCTCCGCAGGTGCTGCTCAACCAGACCGACGGCGCCGTTGTGTACAGCTTCAAGAGCAAGTGCCGCAAGCTGATCCGACCGGAGCGAATCTTTCGCATACCGTTGGGCGAGCTCAACAGCCGGCGCGATCTCTCAGACGTGATCAGCCAGCACCCGGCTGTGGCCTTCGTCGCTGGCTGCGAGCAGCTCCCGCACCGCGTGTGCATCGACACGTGCCTAGGACTTGTCATCGGCCTGCGCCAGGAGGACGACAAGCATGAGTGCGTGATGGACGACATTGTGAGGGAGCTGGGCGAGGCGGGGGACACGTGGTGCGTGGGGCCCTGTGCGCTGTGCTCCCCACCATCTCGCCAACCCTCAGCTCGTGTGTCCACAGGTACGCCATCTTTCTTCTCGAGTCTCGGGGGAGGCTCATCCTGGCCGACGCAGTCGTGTCGGCGCCGGACGACGAGACGATGCGGTCGCTCACCGCCGCCTTGGAGCTTACGCTGACGACGGCTGTCGACCCGCGCGGGGCCATACAAGCCGGACACCTGACGCACGTCCGCAAGCAGCAGGCCAAGCTGAAGCCGGCGCGCATGCGGGCAACTGTCTTTGAGGAAGCCCTTTGCGAGGTGCTTGCGACGGTGGCGGAGAATGCGGCTGGCGAGGCCACCCAGCCGCCCCATCCAAAGACAGTCTCGGCGCACCCCTTTGAGGCTTGGCGTTTCGATGACGAGACCAGCCGGTACGTCTACCCTCGCGTCCTCCCCGGCGCGCGCCCTTGCGGCATCTACTCTACGTAGGACACGCCACGACATGTCCCTGCCATTTGTCTTAGGCATCCACAAGGGCGACGCCGCGCAGAAGGCTTTGGAGGCCCTCGACGACATGAGGGATCTCGCCCCCGGAGCCATCCCCTCGCGAAAGGAGTTCGCGCCAAAGTTTAGCGGCGGGAAGAACTTGCCCCTGACCATCTTGGTCGACCACTCCGACGGAGGCCAGAGGCCGGGCGGGAAGGGCGGCAGCGGCGGCGGGGTCGGGAGTGGCGCGGGTGGCAGCGGCGCGGGCGGCAGCGGAGGGGTCGGTGTGGGCGGCGGCGGCGGCGGCGGCGGAGGCGGCGGCGGCGGCGGCGGCGAGGGCGGCGGCGGCGAGGACGTCAGGCGGGATCGGAAGCGCGAGGATCGGCGGCGGCAGCGACAGGGAGCATTCCAGGTCGTCTTGTTCGGACTGAACACGGCGGGAAAGCAGCTGGATGGCTGCGAACGCGTCAAAGTTCTGAAGGAGGTGGCCGCTTTGATCCTCGCCTTCCAACACGAGCGGCGAGGCGTGGTGCATTGAGGCTGTGCGTAGTGCCCTGAGCGCTGTTGCGCCTGCAGTAGCAGCGTAGTAGCAGCGCAGGGGCCTGTGCAAATAGTTTGAACCTACCCAGAGGGCCTCTGCCACTGCGCTGGCCCAAAATGCTATGGAGTCGTTGTTTACCCAATTTCATCCTTATTTTCTTACATTTGCACATGTTGTAAACAAATACTCCATTACCCCCATGTGCCATGACTGTGTGCCGCACGCGTGTATGTGTGTCCTCGGGCATCGCCACAGTCGGCTCCGGCGCCTCCCTAAACGCCGCCGCCTGCAGGCCCTCCGCCTCCGCCGCCGCCGCCGCCGCCGGGGCTCCCCCCTCGCGCGACTCCTGTCTGTCTGTGACCTTCTCCCGCCGGCCGCCGCCGCCCGGCGCGAGGACAAGGCCGGAGCCGCCCGCCTCTTCCGAGCAGGCCTAGTCGGCGTTCGTCCCGTCGACCTCCATCTCGACAGCCTCTGCGTCGACCCACTCTGCGCCGTCCGCCGAGCCGTCCTCGGACCCGTCGCCGTCGCTTACGACGGCGGCGACGACGGACAACGCCTCGTCGCCATCCACCGCATCTTCCAGAAGGCCCGAGCTCTGCGGAGAGCCGCCCTCGTAGGTCCGCCAGCCAGAGCCGGGCTCGTACAAGGTCACGCCTCTGGCGGTGCGACTGGCGAGCCGCTGCACTGCCTCGCGCAGCTCGTGCTCTTCGAGGTCCTCCTCGTCGCCTACTCGCAAAAGGCGAGTGTGTGGAGAGACGCCGTTTGGAGAGTCAGATCCAGGAGATTCTCCGTCGCCGTCGTCGTGCTCGATGCGCCATAGCGCGGGCTCGTCCTCCGCCTGACGGTTAGCACGGTCTCGTGTGTCGCTTCCGCCCACGAGCAAGTAGGCCGTATCTCGGCGAATCTCGGCGAATCTCGGCCGATCTTACCTCGGGCAAATAGAGCCGAACCGCCGCGTGGACGTCGCCGTGGCCCTCGAGCCGCCGCAGCAGCCGCCGGCCGACATACGGGCCCACGCTCAGCCACTCCTCGCGGCTACTCCCGCCGCCCTCCAACTCGGCAGAGCCCGGTACGCCGCGAGAAGATGCTGTGAGGCCACCAGGCGCCAGCGAGGCGTCGCGCGGGCGCTTGGTGCCCTTGCTCCGCGACGATCTCACCACCGGCGAGGCGCGCAGGGCGGGGGTTGGCGCCGGCGCCTTGCGAGGAAGCGGCGGCTGCTGAGGCAGCAGCTGAGGCGGCTGCTGCTGAGGCGGTGGCTGCTGAGGCAGCAGCAGCTGCTGAGGCGGCTGCGGCCGAAGCGGCGGCTGGTGCGGCTGCCCCTGCTGCAGCTGCAGGCTTGCCACGACATTTTCTGCCACTGCGCTGTGGTGGTGGTGGTGCTGCTGCTGCTGCTGCTGGGGCGCAGCCTCCTCGCGCGGCCTCAGCGGCCGCTCGGTCCGAGCAAGCTGCTCCTGGTCCCGCTCCGGGCGCCCACCGCCCGTCTGGTCGACGATGAGCTGGATGAGCGTCGCCTGGGAGAGAGAGGGGGGGAGGTGGAGGGGGGGGGAGGGGGAGGGGGAAGCATCGGGAGAGAGGGCTCTGGCTGGAGGAGAGCGAGGAGCGTCGCCTTGACGTCGTGTGCGTCGTCCGCCTGGCGCCAGCAGATCTCGGCTCACCTCGGGGTCATCTCGGGTGATCTCGGGGTGATCTCTTGTGATCTCATGGCGATCTCGCGTCATCTCGCGTCATCTCGGGGCGGCGGCGTCGAGGCGGCACGAGCGGCGCGGCGCCGCCTGCTCGGAGGGCTGCGCCTGCTCGATCGCGTCTTGCGCCCGCGCAAGCACGGGCCCGCCTCCCGCCGACACAGCGACGACGCGCTGGCCCGCCAAGGCTTCGGTCTTCTTCGGCAGCAGCTGGCTCTGCGTGTCGCCGTGGCCCAACCTGCCGTAGCCTCCATTGCTCCAGCTCCAGACAGCTCCGTCGGCCGTGCGGGCGATGCTGTGGCAGGATCCAGCCGACGCAGCGACGACGCGCTGGTCAGCCAAGGCGAGGCGTTCGCCTGCGAGACGCTCGGCGGCGAAGCGCTCCAACCCCTCCCCGGCCGGATCTGGGCCAAGGGTGTCGGCCAAGTGCTTGACTCGGTCTGTGTCGACCCCAGCCTGCTTGCCGCGCAACGCCTCCAGTGTCGCCTTGAGCGCCGCCGCCTCCTCCTCCCTCTGCGCCGCCGCCGCGTTGTGGGCGCGCAGCGCCTCCAGTAGGTGCAGCCGGCAGTAGGTGCGGCGCAGCACGCCGAGCTCTTGCGCGCTCATCAGCGTGTAGGTGGAGGGGAGGGCGTCGCAATGCGGCAGCGAGAGAGCGGCCGAGAGGCGGACGGGGCAGTCGGCGAGGCCGCACGGGCCGCTGCCGTGGTGCGACTTGACGGCGATCACGTACTCGGGCAAGTAGGTGGCGACCAGGTCGTTGATGAGCTTCGCCGGCGGCGGTATGCCGTCTGCGGCGTCGTGCTCGTGCCGGACGGCCGTGACGGAGACCTGGAGAGGACGTGCGACTCAGGGACAACTCGCGGAGGTCGCTCTCTGCAGGAGAGGCGGAGAGCCTGCTCCGGCTCGAGCTGCGCCTTGAGGGCCGCCTCCTGGTACGCCTCGAGGCGGAGGGGCCGGTCCTCGGTCGCGGTCAGCACCGCCATCATCCTCTCGAACGGCTCGTCGGCGGCGAGGTCCGCCTAGCAGGGGGGGGTTCGGCGGAGGGTCAGAGAGAGAAGGCTCCACCGCCTTCTCGAGGAGTCGCCGGGTGTGCGCCGGGTTTGCGGCGCGGGAGGAGTCGTAGAGCAGGCCGATGCATGCGTCGAAGCGGAGGGCGAGGAAGAGCGGGTGCTTGCACTTGTTGCGGAGGTTGGCCGCAGAGAGGTAGTTGCGCAACCCATCGATGGAGTTGTCGATCGGCTGCCGCACGAGGCCCTTGTCCACCTACGAGAGGAAGGGGGTCGCCGCGGTGTGGGAAGGAGCGTGGCTTGGGCAGTGCCCAGCAAGTGCGTGCGAAGTGTCTGCGAACCTTCTCCATCACGCGGTCGAGCTTGTCCGGCGCAAACGGCAAGTGCGCCGCGACGCCGCCGCCGCCGCCGCCGCCGCCGCCGCCGGCTCCGCCGCCGCCGCCGCTGCCTCCCCCGCCCCCCGCCCGGCTGGCACCGCCGCCCGCCGCCTTGCTGCCCGCGCGCTCCTTCGGGTTCCTCTTCCTCGCGTCCACCCGGATCGGCGGCGAGATGAGCGCCGCCGCGATGCACATGGCCGCACTCAGCCGCTGCGGGTCCGTCTGCGGAGGAGCTTGGACCATCACCACGGCCGCCTGTCCACAACGCTGCG